TCTTAGAACATATCCTTAATGAAGTTCTGTTTCTTTAGAAATAAAAGTAACCGAGAACAGAGATTCTCAATATTTAGAAATTTATTACTACTTCCAATAAACATAAAAACTTCCCCCCTTCTTTAAAACTAGTTGGTTTCAAAATAATTTAAACACAAAAAAGTCAAATCAATTCTGAATCTATTTTACCAAACTACTCACATACATCAGTTGAGATAATTAATTTAAACTATAAATTTAGAAAGTGTCATGACATTAAATATTTAGAAACATTTTTAAGAATTTTCTCAAGACTATATGCATATACTACAATTACCAATTCCATGGGACAATCTTCCACTTCTTGTGCCAAGAAGGCATTCATTAAAGAGGATTCCTCAATAGCCAAAGAAACCATTTCAACAAAATCCTGCTAAAGAAAAGTAGGATAAGATAGATAATTCTGCTAGTATTTATCTCAGAAACAATCATTTCTAAAGCTCAAAATATTATTTCTGAAATATTACAGTATAGGTAGTCCATACCTTAAATCTTCCTGTTTTCAAATGTCTCCCACAAAATTACTGGCATACCCCTGCCCTCCTTGCTTCCTACCCTTTTCCCTTTTGTTTTCCTCTCCACTGCAGACCTCACGGCAGATGTCTCTATGGGTGAAGTGCTTCTTTGAAGCATTTCACTTAGCCTCAGTCTCAGACCTCTATTCTCATGCTACTACCAGGTGGTGGTGGTATGTCATGGAATCAGTTCCGACTCATAGCAGCCCTGTATAGGGTTGTCCAAGTCTGTAAATCTTTATGGGAGCAGAAATCCTCATCTTTCTCCTGCAAAGCTGCTGATATTTTTGAACTGCTGACTCGAGTTAGCAGTCCGACTTGTAACCACTATGCTACCAGAGCTCCTTCTAGTACCAGGTAGCAGAAGGAAGAGATATGCAATGGTCAAGCACAGGGAGTGAGGAAAGGGGTATTAAGATCCCTACCGAGGGCCAAGACAGGATTACTAGGGAAGAAAAAAATGGTGTGCAGATTCTGAAAGGGGAGGGAAGAAATAAAGGAAGAGAAAAAGAGAATAGATATTCTCCATTCTCCACCATCCCCTCCCAACTTTTTCATTGCTATCAGTTATTGACTCCCTTTTTGTTTCCCACCTGTCTCCAAATGTCACTCCCCAGCTGGAATCCCAAATCTTGATTAAGTTGGGAACTTTCTACAATATAGTTTGAATTTTCACTTCAGCTTTTAAAAATTTTAGTATTTGCTGTTGTTGAAGCTAAATAAAATTAAAACAGGGTCATGAGACCCAAAATATGATCTTGAACATATCCCACTTGAATTTAGAGATCATCTCAGGAACAGATTTGATGTATTAGATATTAATGACTGAAGACCAGAATGGCTGTGGGATGACATTGAAAATATCATACAGAAAAAAAAGCATAACGTCACAAAAAAGACCGGAAGAAAGAAAAGGCCAAAATGGATGTCAGAAGAGACTCTGCAACTTGCTCTCCAGTGTAGAGATGCTAAAGTGAGTGGAAGAAATGAGTAAGTAAAAGACCTGAACACACAATTTCAAAGGGCAGATCAAGAAAATAAAGACAAGTGTTATAATGAAATCCCCAAAGACCTGGAGTTAGAAAACCAAAAGGGGAGAAACACATTCAAAATTTCCCAAACTGAAAGAATTGAAGAACTTCAAACCTCTACTTGCAATATTGTTGAAGGATTGATTCCATGGGCAAAATATTATTGAATGATGCAGAAAGCATCAAAAGAAGATGAAAGGAATACATAGTCACTGTACCAAAAATAAATGATCAATGTTTAAACATTTAAGAGGTAGCATACATACATATATTAGATAATATATACTATTATATAATTATATAATCAAGAACTGATGGTACTGAAGGAAGAAATCCAAGCTGCACTGTAGGTATTGGCAGACACAAGGTTCCAGGAATTGATGAAATACAAATTGATAGCTTTCCACAAGCTTATGTAGCACTGGAGGCACTCATTCATCTATGCCAACTGACTGGACAATATATATATTTGGTCCATCCCAAAGAGAGGTGACCCAATTGAACAGTATCATTAATATCACATGCAATAAAATTTTGCTGACGATAATTAAACAACAGCTGTAACAGTACATCAACAGGAAACTGTCAGAAACTCCAGCTATATTCAAAAGTGGGATATCATTGCTGACATCAAATGGGTCTTGACTGAAAGCAGATGATACCAGAAATATGTTCATTTGTGTTTTACTGACTGTGCAAAGACTTTTGACTGTGTGGATCATGACAAACTTTGGATAGCATTGCGAAGAATGGGTATTCTAGAACACTTGATAGAGGAACCTATACATAGACCAAGAGGCAGTTGTTAGAAGAAAACAAGGGGATACTGAATGATTTAAAATCAGCAAAGGTGTATACCAGGCTGTATTCTTTCACCAGATTTATTCAATCTGTATGCTGAGTAAATAATCCGGGAATATAGATTATATGAAGAAGAACATGACATCAGGACTGGAGGAAGATTCAGTAACAACCTCCAACATGAGGATGATGCAACCTTGCATGCTGAAAGCAAAGAGGATTTAAAATACTTACCAATAAAGATCAAAGACCACAGCCTTCAGTATGGATTATTCCTTAATGTAAAGAAAACAAAAACCCTCACACCTGGACCAGTAAATAACATCATAATAAACAGAGAAAAGATGGAACTTGTTAAAGATTTCATTTTGCTTGGATCCATAATCAGCACTCATGGAAGCAGCAGTCAAGAAACCAAATGACATATTGCATTAGGCAAATCTGTTGCACAAGACCTCTTTAAAGAGTTGAAGAGCGAAGATGTCAGTTTGAGAACTAAGGTGCACCTGACCCAAGATAGCGTATTTTCAGTTGCCTCATATGCATGTAAAAGTTAGACAATGGATAAGGAAGACCAGGGAACTGGTGCATTTGAGTTATGGTACTGGGAAGGAATATTGAAAGCACCATGGACTGCCAGAAGAACAAAGAAATGTGTGTTGGAAGTACAGTCAGAAAGTTCTATAGAAGCCAGGATGGCAAGACTTTGTCGTCATGCTTCCCATAAATTATCAGGAGGGACCAGTCCTTGGAGAAAGACAGTATGCTTGGTAAAGGGTCAATGAAAAAGAGGACGACACTCCAACAAGATAGATTGGTACCGTGGCAGCAGAAAAGGCTCCAAGTATAACAAAAATTGTAAGGATGGTGCAGGATTGGGCAGTGTTTCGGTCTGTTGTGTGATATGAGTTGGAACCAAATATTTGGAACCTAACATATACACACATAGATTTGTTATTACTGTTAAATGCCAACAAGTCATTTCTGATTCATTGCAACCCTGCATAGGGTTTCTGAGGAGCAGGTGGTGGGTTTGAACCGCAGACATTGCAGTTAGCAATCCAGTACTTATCCTACTACCCCACACCAGGACACCTTTGGTGAGTCTAAGGAATTGCATTCTATGTACATATTGTTGAGTCATCATGTTTTTCCCCATTCAAATTCTATGAATATTCTATATTTTAGATACTTTGAATTTTGTAACTACTTTAAATAAAAATTCTGTTTTATGAAGATTTGAGAATGATTAATCAGAATCAGTATCTTCTTTTCCCTTCAAATTGACTGTGATCCCATGTCTGACTATATTTCACATCTGTTCACCATTTTTAGAAGCAGACTAAACATAAGACATACTCAGAAATGTTTTCCATCTCCTCAAATTAGGATAAAGGAGCAAAGAGTTCAAAATAACTAGCGCATCAATCTCTTTCCTTCTTTGCACTTCAAGCATTTGGGAAAATAGATTTTGTTTAGAATATATATGATCAATAGAGTTATATTTTCCTTACAAAATACCATAAACTAAACAAGTTTGCCTAGTCATAATTTTCAGTAGATGCTCGCAAAGAAATGCAAAAGCCCAAATAAGGAAGAGTACTACTTGCAACCCAATATCTTAATATCAAATATACAATCATATATTTAGCAAAACACATTTTGTTTTAATGTATTACAAAATTGTCTTGTCTTCCAATGGCATTCAGTTTCAGTGTGGATTGACTGAATTCCCTGAGTGATGATCAAAATACAAGGGTGATGGAACAAAACAGATAAGCACTGGCTTATTTTTATCTAGTATGGCTATAATACTTACATCTCTACAACTAATAAAGTGACAAATGGAAAAATATCTTAAAGCACATTGTTCCCAGCTATCTCAAAATATTTTTTGAATAAAAAGGATTTTTTGGTTATGGAGCTTTAGATAGTTCTTTAGAATCAAGGCCAAAGTAATTTGTGAGTCTAAAACATAATGCTTTTAGAGGTGGGAGGGCGGGTAGACTTATAATGAAAAATAAAACATAGGTTTATTGGCTTATTGTTGGACAGTCATCCATTTAATGGCTAATGCACAGTAGTCCATAATGTTTTGTTACTGTAATGTATGGTAATAAAATACTATTTCAGTATGAAACTACCTTCTAAGGTCATTTCTTATCTGAAACTTCTAGGGAATACTGTTCTGTAACCCATATTTTATCCTGAAGTACTACTGACTAAAGAAAATGGTAGAACAATGCAAGATAAAATATGAGTTATAAATGTAAAAAAGGTCTTAACATTCCTGTGATAGTCCTAAGGAAAAAAATTACCACAGCTGTGTTAGAAAAATAATGCTTCTAAGATTCTCTCTGTTTAACTTACCTGAGAGTTAGTATTTTTACTGATATCCTCTTGAGAGCTATACATAGACTCATCAATCACATCCTTCCAAGTTTTGGTGTAACTTAACTCTTGCTGGGAATTTGGCTTTTCCATCACGGAGGTCTCTGAATTATCAAGGAAGTAAAGAAGGTTTCACCAAAATACCTTTCAAACTTTAATTGGGATATGGTGGTGCCAAAAGAAAACTTTGCTAGACAACTTATTATCTAAGAATTTAAGCAAAGGGTATATAGATTATTTATATGGCTCCCCAAGTCTTACTTATTTATCTTCCTTTTTCACTCCCCATCCTTCTTCTCCACACTCATTGCCACACATTCACAAAACAAGGAAGACAGCTCTGAAACCCATCTTAGTATACTGTCTAGCAGATTGTAATGCCTTAAAGAAGGGTGATCAAGAGTAGAGATTCACTCACTATATATGTTCTTTTTATTATCACTTTGGAGTCTTGGTGTGGTGCTGTGGGTTAATGCGCTGGACTGCAAAGTCAGTTTGAACTGCAAGGTCGGTGATCACAGCTACTGCTTGGAAACCCTATGGGTCAGAACTAGCTTGACAGCACTTAACAACAATTATCACTTCATAATTTTATAAAAATAACCAGAAATTATTAACACTCCATGTGTCCTCTGAGTAGTGGGATGTATCTATGTCTTTGGCTAACAATATTGTGTAAATGCTATTCTTATGATTGGATGGTTTTCATATTAGTTGTTTTAAAGTGAAACATCATCTAGCTAAACACAAAAGTGGTCATTGTTGAAGGTTTGTGAGTACTGCCTCTGGGGCTGGGGAAGACCAGAAAGAATGAGATTAAGAGCGAGCTACACAGATGGCCAAACTTGGTCTCTCATACTTCGGACATACTGTCAGGAGGGACCAGTCGCTGGAGAAGGATATCATGTTTGGTAAGGTGGAGGGTCAGAGAAAAAGAAGAAGACCCCCAATGAGATGGATTGGCCAAGTGGCAGCATCAATGGGCTCAAGCATGGCAACAGTAGTGAGGTTGGCCCAGGATCAGGCAGTGTTTTGTTCTGTTGTGCATAAGGTTGCTATGAGTTGGTACCGACTCAATGGCACCTAACAACAACAACAGCACATAGTCATATATACTTACCTTTTTGATGAAGCTTATGGGACAGAAAAAGAAAAATCCAAAACAAATTTGCAGTGTTGATGTAGCAACACGTATTTTAAGCACTCTTCTAGTGATAGCATTTGTAATTAAGAATAAGGAATTAGATTCCATGCATATTTTAAAATATAAAATGAATTTCTGTTTCTACAACATCATCTTCAACAGTGACAGAATTAGGAAGTCTCACCTACTATGTTCTGGTTCCCCATTTTGTCCCTTATGAACTCCTTTTGTATCCATTTTCCTCCAAGTTTAATGCCAGAGGACAGAAAGCATTTTGTGAACAACTGTAAAAACACACATTTTTGTATAAGTACAGCAATTTAAAAAAATACAACCATATAATGATACAACACAAAAACTATTACTTTATACACAAATATCCAGAAAATTAATTCAAAAGAAGTGAGGGGTTTTGCCTTCACATATTTAAACTTCATTATAAAAATTTTAATTAATTTGGTGTGGCACTGTGGGTTAATGTGCTGGACTGCAAAGTCAGTTTTATCACAAGGTTGGCAATTCAAGCTCATTAGCCACTCCTCGGAAACCCTATGGAGGGCCACTATGGGTCAGGACTGACTCCATGGCACTTAACAACACCAACATGCAGATATACATTTATTTGTTTATAACCAAACATTACATCCATGTAAAAGGATAGAAACCATTACCCTTTGTAGTTCAGCATGAATCAAATCCTGAGCAGCAGATGACAAAAGTGTATCCACTCCACCTTTCTTCTTCCACATCATTAACCTATGGGTAGGAGGTGCAAGTTCCAAAACCGTGAGTGTATCCGCAAAAGAAGTCAGCTGTTTATGCATAGTTTTGCTACTGATCTCCTTGATTGGGTCTATGAGCAATTTCCTTCTTTTGCTTTTCCTTTTCTCAGCAATGTCTAAGTATAAGAAGAAGGCACAAATGTTGATTAGTTATACAGCCTTTTAAAATGATACTGTACATACTGTATATCTAAGAAATGTATATTTATCACAGCACACCTTCCAGAGTTATATTGGGAAGAAAGTTGATCTTCTCTTCTGAAAATTACATTTTACAAGGGTTTTGCCTGAACAGCTAGCAGCTGATGCATTTTATAAAGTGTTGCTGAAAGGTGCTTAGGAAGGACTGTGTTGACTTAATAAATGGGTAATTGTGGAAATGTGGAGCATAAATAATATTGTCAGGGAAGTCACCTAATTTAAAGGATCTCTAAAATGTAAACTATCTATGTAGCAGGATAATTTTGGAAATATTAATGTGTATTTGTTCAGTGCATTTTCCCCTCCTCTACTGAATAAATACTATTACAATACTATTACAAATCTCAAGTAGGTAGCTAGGTCTATGGGATTTCGCTACTAAGGGAATTTTACCATGTAGAAAGCAGAAGCTGCCTAAAGTTAAGCTTTTCTTTGGTAAAGCTGCAAAAGGGTAGATAGAGAAGGTTAGATTTCCCAGAATGAGTGGATATATGAAATGAAATGGAAGCAGAAGCAGTAGGATGCTATTTGCTGATGTGCCTCAGTAAGAACTTGGGAACATGGCAAGATCCCAAAGGGGATGACTGTGTGTAGGCTGGGACAGTGGGTACCACACAATGATATTGCTGATGACCAGAGATCTCCTACCTCCAACACCTCTCCCCTGAACTCTGGTATTACATGGTCTAAGGAAGCTGGGGGAGCTATGCCTACTGAATTTCCTGCCAGCCCATTAGCTCAGAGTTGAATTTAGTAAAGAGAAAATGTAAACTCCTTACATGCCTGACTACATAACATAAAATTCATATTAATTATATGACTTAGAAGTTCTGGTGTGGTGCTGTGGGTTAATGCAAGTCAGACTGCAAAGTTAATAGAACTGCAAGGTCGGTGGTTCAAGCTCACTAGCTGCTCCTTTGAAATACTATACAGGGTTCGCTATGGGTCAGAATTGACTTGATGGCACTTAACAACAACAACAGCAACAGGACTTAACATGAGGATGTTCCTCAAAGACCTAGTTCTATATTAAATCCACACTTATTGTTTATTCTACATTAAATTCATACTTATTGTTATTATTGTACAAAGCTGTATGATATCTCTTCTGTGCTTGGTGATTAGCCTGTTTTCATCCTTTCCTTTCCTTTTCCTCTGGCTTTCTGATTCAGATGACCATTTTAATTACTTAGATCTTAGACTTACTTCTTACAAATCATACTTTCCAAATATTTATCAATATCTACCACATGTCTGAACTCCTAGTGTGGTGCTGTAGGATCAGCCTGGACTGTGAATCGTAAGGCCAGCAATTCAAATCCATCAGCTGCTCCTTAGGAACCCTATACAGGGTTGTTATGAGTCCAAACCAACTCTACAACACTTGACAAGAAAACCCACCCCATGCCTGTTTGTTGTACTGTGGTGGCTTGTGTATTGCTATAATGCTGGAAGTTACACCACTGGTATTTTAGATACCAGCAGGATCACCCTGTATTGTAATATAGTATTGTAATGTTGGAACTTGGTGGGCAAGTTCGAGTGAAGCTTCCAGACTAAGACAGACTAGGAAGGAGAGGCAGACCACTTCTAAATGGTTAGTCACTGAAAACTTTATGAATAACAGAAGAACACTGTTATATATAGTGCCATAAGATGAACCCCTCAGGTTGAAAGGCACTCCAAATACAATTGGGGAAGAGTTGCCTCCAGAAAAGTTGACAGTCATTATGTGAATTAAACAAAGCTTTTGAGACCTTCATTTACTGATGTGGGTACAACTCAAAATGGAAAGAAACATCTGCAAATATCCATTAATACTCAGAACATGGAATGTATGAAGTATAAATCTAGGAAAATTGGAAATCATAAAAAATGAAATGGAATACATGAAAAATGATATCCTAGGCATTAGTGAGAGCAGGCCAGTGCTGATCCTACAGTGAGTGCCACATGCACTGGTATTGGCCTTTTGAATCGACAGTCATATGGCTTATTATACCAGGAATGACAAACTAAAGAAGTATGGCATTACATTCATCGTCAATAAAGAACATTTCAAGATTTATTGTGAAGTACAATGCTGTTTGTGATAGGATAATATCCATACACCTATAGGAAAGACTAGTTAATACCACTATTATTTAAATTTACACACCAACCACTAAACTAGTGATAATGAAATTGGATAATTCTATCAACTTCTTCAGTATGAAATTAATCAAACATGCAATCAAAATGCACTGACAATTACTGGTGATTGGAATGTGAAAGCCGGAAACAAAGAAAAAGGATCAGTACTTAGAAAATATGGTCTTGGTGATAGAAATGATGCTGGAGATTGCATGACAGAATTTTGTAAGACCAATGATTTATTCATTGTAAATACCCTTTTTCAACAACATGAAAGGCAACTATACACATGGACCTCACCATGTGGAATACACAGGAATAAACTTGACTACATCTGTAGGAATAGATGATGGAGAAGCTCAAATTATCACCTAAAAGAAGGCCAATGACTGACTATAAAACAGACCATCAATTGCTCATATGAAAGTTCTGGCTGAAGTTGAAGAAAATTAAAGCAAGGCCACAAGAGCCAAGATACAGCCTTGAATATATTCCACTTGAATTTAGAGACCATCTCAAGTACAGATTTGATGCATTTAGACACTAAAGACCAAAAATCCAGAGGAGTTGTTGGATGGCATCAAGAACATGAAAAAAACCAAAAGATCACTAAAAAGATAGAAAAGAAGGGAAAGACCAAAATGATGTCAGAAGAAACTCTGAAACTTGCTCTTGTACACAAAGAAGCCAAAACAACTGGAATAAATGAGGAAATAAAAGAGTTAAACACGAAATTTCAAAGGGCAGCTCGAGAAAACAAAATCCAATATTATAATGAAATGTGCAAAGACCTGGAGTTAGGAAACCAAAAGGGAAGAACACACTCAGAAGTTCTCAAGTTGAAAGAACTGAAAAAAAAAATTTAAGCATTGGGCTGCAACATGGAAGGATTCTATCAGCAAAATCCTTTTGGAGTCCTGGTGTGGTGCTGTGGGTTAATGCGCCAGATTGCAAAGCTGCCTGAAATGCAAGGTCGGCAGTTCAAGCTCACCAGCCACTCCGTGGAAACCCTATACAGGGGCGCTACGGTTCGGAACCGACTTGACGGCACTTCACAACACAACAACATCAGCAAAATACTTAGTGATGCAGGAAGCATCAAAAGAAGATGGAAGGAATTCACAGAGTCACTGTACCCAAAAGAACTGAAAGATGCTCAACCATTTCAAGAGATAGCATATGATCAAGAATTGATGGTATTGAAGGCAGAAGTCCAAGTTGCACTGAAGGCACTGGTGAAAAACAAAGTTCAAGTTATTGATGGTATACAAATTGAAATGCTTTAACAAACAGATGCAGCACTAGAGTGTTCATTCACCTATGCCAAGAAATTTGGAAGACAGCTACATGGCCAACTGATTGGAAAAGGTCCTATATGTGTCCATTCCAAAGAAAGGTGACTCAATGGAATGCAGAAACCATTGAACAATATCATTAGTACCAAAATTTTGCTGCAGATAATTTTAAAATGGCTGCAGCAGTCCATCAACAAGTTGTTGCTGTTGTTAGGTGCCATCGAGTTGGTACTGACTCATAGTGACCCTATGTACAACAGAACTAACCACTGCTCAATCCTGGGCCAACATCACTACTATTGCCACGCTTGAGCCCATAGATGCTGCCACTTGGCCAATCCATCTTGCTGAGGGTCTTCCTCTTTTTCTCTGACCCTCCATCTTACCAAACATGGTACTACAGCGCTTTGTCCCTCCTGACTATATGTCCGAAGTATGAGAGACAAAGTTTGCCCATCTTGGCCTCCAAGGAGTACTCTGGCTACACTTCTTCCAAAATGCATCTATTGGTTCTTTTGGCAGCCCATGGCACTTTCAATATTTTCCGCCAACACCATAACTCAAAAGCACCAATTCTTCTAAGGTCTTCCTTATTCATTGTCCAGCTTACGCATGCATATGAGGTTATTGAAAATGCCATGGCTTGGATCAGGTGCACCTTAGTCTTCAAGCTGACATCATTGCTCTTCAACACTTGAAAAAGGTCTTGTGCAGCAGATTTGCCTAATGTAATATGTTGCTTGATTTCTTGACTGCTGCTTCCATGAGTGTTGTTAGTTGATCCAAGAAGAATGAAGTCCTTGACAACTTCAATATTTTCTCTGTTGATACGAATGTTTTTCATTGGTCCAGGGGTGAGAATTTTTGTTTTCTTTACATTGAGATGTAATCCATACTGAAGGCTGTGCTCTTTGATCTTCATCAGTAAATGTTTCAAGTCCTTTTTTTTTTTTTTTTTTGAAGAGAACTTAAAACATCAACAAGGAGCTGTCAGAAATTCAACTCGGATTCAAAGAGGCCATGGATTGATGGACAGCACTATAGAAGTTAGGTGGATCTTGGCTAAAAGTAGAGAATACCAGCAAGATGTTTACTTGTGTTTTATTGACTAAGCAAAGACATTGACTGTGTGGGTCATTATAAGCTCGGATAATATTGTAAAAAATGGGTGCTCATGAGGAACCTGTACATAGTCTAAGGGCCAATTGTTCAACTAGAACAAGGAGATACTGAATTATTTAAAATCAGGAAAGATGTGTGCCAGGATTATATCCTTTTATCATCCTTATTCAATATGTATGCTGAACAAATAATCCAAGAAACTGTACCATATGAAGACAAACACGGCATCAGAGTTGGAGGAAGAGTCTTTAATAGCTTGAAATATTCAGATGATTCAACCATGCTTGCTGGAATTGAAGAGGACCTAAAATAGTTACTGATGAAGATCAAAGACCACAGCCTTCAGTATGGATTGTATCTTAATGCTAAGAAAATAAAAACCCTTAATAAATAAAATAATGATACGTGGAGAAAAGATTGAAGTTGTCAAAGACTTCAATTTGCTTGGATCCACAATCAGCATTCATGGAAGCAGCAATCAAGAAATCAAACATCTAATCTGCTGCAAAAGACCTCTTTAAGTGTTCAAGGGCCAAGATGTCAGTTTGAAAACTAAGTTGCACCTGGCCCAAGCCATGGTATTTTCAATTGTCTTATATGTATTTGAAAGTTGGACAACAAATAAGGAAGACTAGAAAATCAATGTATTTGAATTACAGTGTTGGAGAAGAGTATTTAAAGTACTATGGACTACCAGAAGAACAAACAAATTTGTCTTAGAAGATCTACAGCCAGAATGCTTCTTAGAAGTGAGGATGGCAAGACTTTGTTTCTTGTTCTTTGGACATGCTATCAGGAGGGGCCAGTCCCTGGAAAAGAACACCATGCTTGGTAAAGTGGAGGGTCAATGAAAAAGAAGAAGATCTCTTGGACTGACACAGTGGCAGCAACAATGGGCTCAAACACAACAATTGTGAGGATGGTGCAAGACTGTTGAGTTCTGTTGTGCATAGGGTCACTATGAGCCAGAAGTGACTTGATGTCACCTAACAACAACACACAGGCTGCTTCCACTACCTTCTACCCATTTATTATTTCACCAGTTAAATGTGAATTCTAACTCCATCACTCTGCTTAAACAATTAGACACCAGTGACTTTCTAATTACTAAAGCTATCACACATGTTTTGGGTTCTCAACGATTTGGACCTTTCCTCATGTTTAGCATATAACAATATTAGCCACCTTCCTCTCCTCAAAAGATTCTTCCTTCCATGGCTTGAATTCTGTCACTATCTCTCCACTCACCCATTCTTTGGTACTTTTCCTGCTCCATATGCAGGCATGTCCTTTCTTGTTCCATATGCTTTTCTTATGCAATCTGAACTATTCTCATCATTCAATAAAATTACAATAATAGCTTGCATTTAGTACTACATTTCAGGTACTTGGCTAAGTACTTTACATGACCTGCATCATTTCACCATTCCAATAATCTTATGAGTTAGGAAATTGAGACTTGGAGAGCTTATGTAACTTTCACAAGGTGCCACAGCTAGTAAGAAGCAAAGCAAGGGTTGAGACCCAGGAAGTGTAATTTTACAGTCTGACACTACATGCTAACTCTTGAGAAATGATCTTCCAATTAATCTTTCCTTATAATCTACAACAAATTTGCTTTCCTAAAATATTCCTATATTTTAAAAATGTAATGACTTAACATTAAATTTTTAAGAAAATTTTATTTCTTAAGCTCAGGATTCAAGTTCTGACCCCAAACTAAGAGTTTTTGAAATACCAGCTACTTTTTTTTTTTATGTTTTATTGTGAATTAGGTGATAGTTTACATGGGAGAATATTAGCTTTATATTCATCCTATCATATTTGTTTCCTTGCCATGGTTACAATCCCCTCCATGCATCATCAAACAACCAAAGGGAATACCCTGTAAGCCTGTCCCCCCAGTCATCAGCACACAGCCCCTCTCCCTCTCTGGGTCTAGAGTTCCCAGCCATTCCATCTCTCCACGTCATCGTCTCTGCCTCTATCTCTGGC